CCGACCTAGCATTTGGGCATGGTGAGGGGGCTCGAGTAGGAAAGGGCTACCCGTAGACGGAGTCAGAGGACTCGTCACGGCGTGGAGCCACCACTAGGCTATGCCTCACATGCACTATGCTAGGGTTTGATCTGGGTTATGTTGGGGCTTAACGAGGACGTCAAGCCTTTGAGTGGGGGTGATTGTAACACCCTTGATTAGTCCCACATCGAAAGTGGGTAGGATTAAGATTGACCTATACTTCAGCTTAAGCATTTTGGTCAGTGGTTTAAACCAAACGAAGTCGATAAGCCAGTTAGCCCATCAGGCTCGGGTCATGACACCTGTTGTCGTAGTGGTTGGACAGCCGGCAGGTGTGGCAGATGAGAGACAAGTGGAATGATGGATTGCACCATATTGGTCAGAGTTCGGACTTGATGGATGAGGTCGTGAAAGGCCTCGGACAACACAGGCGACGGGTCGGCGGGGGTGTCGTCGGGCGGCGACAAGCCCAGGTCTAAAATATCCGCCAATAGCGCTCTGAGGTCATGCGCCTCTAGTGGACGACCTCCGCCTTCGCACCTGTACAAAGGTCAGGTCGGGGAGCTCGACCCGACCCCTCCGACGAACAAGTTAGTGGATAGTCGTAGGGGGTTTCTTTTTCTCCCTCCTCCCTCCTCCTCACGAGGGTTTTTATAGTGAGAATCACAGTTGCCTGATGTGTTGGCCCGTAGGGAGCAGGACCATACTTCTGGTAGCGTCTGACGTTGCCGTTGGCGTGGCGTGAGGGATCGAACCTGAACAGGACATTAATGCGCCTTGGTAGACGTTCCGATCCACGTTGACCAGGTGCCTCATCAAGTCAGCAAAGGCGTGATGCGTCATCTGGTGCAGTTGATATCACGTAAGTCTTATCATAATTATTACCCTAATCAAATGAGATGGTAACATAGCATATACACTGTTTAATCAAACAGACAGAATAAAGCTTCTCTGTCTAAAGCTTCCCCGCCATGATCTAAAAGCCTTAAGAGTTCTGCATCTTTTGCTTTGCTTTGGATCCCGCCTTGGTTTTACCCTTGGAACCGGCGTCCATAGAAGAAATGGTGTAGCCATTAAGAGCTAGCTGAGTCGCTCAATGAACTCACCGAAGCTAATCGGCGAACCGGCAGTGATGGCTGCTCCATTAACCTCTCGAGAGTTCAGTCCATCAGCGATTAAGTTTAGGCGGCCACCAACCCACCACCATCATGGTGTCTTTATTCCCTCCGCTTTCATCTTTTAAATACAGCCCGAGGTCGGCCTTCTTCGGCACCTTTATGTCTCATGCTTGCTCACAAAGACGGCTTCTCCATGAAAGGAGTCATCTTCCTGGCCAAAGCACGCCACCATCCATACACCGAAAGAAAGGAGAAGTATTCGCTGTCACCTACTTTGCTTGGAAATCAAGGTTAAGTTTCCCGGGGGTGGGGCACTTCCGGGCTGCGTTCCCGGCAACATAAGCCGAGAATATTGGCGGGAAGGCAGGACCATGATGCTGGTGGTGGAGGTGGTGGACGCCCATGATCTTATGCCCAAGGACGGTGAAGGCTCATCGAGTGCGTTCGTGGAGGTGGACTTTAGCAACCAGCGTAGCCGAACTCGAACCGTTCACAAGGACCTCAACCCCGTGTGGAACCAGAAGCTCTCCTTCCGCCTCCACGACCCTGACATCCTCCCCAAGCAGAGCGTCGAGGCCTGCGTGTACAACGAGCGCAAGACCTTCCCTAGCCGCAATTTCCTCGGGAGGGTGAGAGTACACGGCGCAAACATCGTCAGGCAAGGTGAGGAAATCCTTCAAAGGTTCCAGTTGGAGAAGAAGTGGCTTTTTTCTTCCATCAAAGGTGATCTTGCACTGAAACTCTACATCTCCCCTGAACCAAAGTCTCCTCCGCCTCTTCCACTTTCTCCCACAAACCACAACTGTCCAACCTCTGCTGTCACTGAATCTGATACCATTACCAGCAAGACAACCGCCACTAATAGCACAATCGATCCTGCTGCTCCCACCGAAGCCCTTGCAGTTGAAAGTACTTCTTTATCCACTGACCCAAAGCCAGCTGCTACTGAAGAAGCAGAGTTGAACCAAAGACCAACTGAAGTGAAGCTAGAGACCACTTACTGCATCAACAAGCATCAGGTCTCGCCGCAGCCGGGGAAATCCGTCGAGCAGCAGAGCCCTGCCACTGTGCCTGTGGTGCCGATCATGGCATTCCAGCAAGTCCACTACGGGCAGGCCCAGCCGAGTCGCGCAGAGGAGTACAAGCTCAAGGATACCAGCCCCCAGCTCGGGGAGCGGTGGCCGCATGCGAGGAGAGTGGGATGGATGGGCATGGTCGGCGGTGGCGACAAGCTCACGAGTACCTATGACCTCGTCGAACAAATGTCCTACCTCTATGTGCGCGTTGTCAAGGCCAAGGACCTGCCCCCCAACGCCATCACCGGCAGCTGCGACCCTTATGTCGAAGTGAAGCTGGGTAACTACAAGGGCATCACCAAACACTTCGACAAGAAAAGCAGCCCTGAATGGAACCAGGCGTTCGCCTTCTCCAAGGAGCGCATCCAATCGACGGTCCTCGAAGTGTATGTGAAGGACAAGGAGGTGGCGGCACGGGACGACTACATCGGCAGGGTGGTGTTCGATCTCAATGAGGTGCCGACGCGAGTGCCTCCTGATAGCCCATTAGCCCCCCAGTGGTACCGGCTGGAGGACCGCAGGGGGGACGGCAAAGTGCGGGGCGAGATCATGCTGGCGGTGTGGATGGGGACGCAGGCGGACGAGGCCTTCCCGGATGCGTGGCACTCTGATGCGGCCACCGTGCAAGGCGAGGGGGTGTCCAACATCCGGTCCAAGGTCTACGTCTCTCCCAAGCTCTGGTACCTCAGAGTGAACGTCATCGAAGCCCAGGACGTGCAGCCCAACGACGGAAGCCGCCCCCCGGAGGTGTTTGTCAAGGCACAGGTCGGCAACCAGGTGCTCAAAACCAGAGTTTGTCCCACAAGGACGATGAGTCCGATGTGGAACGAAGACCTCGTTTTCGTGGCGGCCGAGCCATTCGAAGAACACCTGGTGCTGACCGTCGAAGATCGCGTGCACCACACCAAGGATGACTTGCTCGGGAGGATCGTCCTGCCGTTGACACTGTTCGAGAAGCGACTCGACCACCGACCGGTTCATTCCAGATGGTTCAACATGGAGAGGTTCGGGTTTGGGGTGCTCGAGGGTGACCGGCGAAAGGAGCTCAAGTTCTCGAGCAGGATCCATCTCCGCGTTTGCCTCGAAGGAGCCTACCACGTGATGGATGAGTCCACCATGTACATCAGCGACACCCGTCCGACGGCGCGGCAGCTGTGGAAGCAACCTATTGGGGTACTTGAAGTAGGCATCCTTAGTGCCCAAGGATTGATTCCGATGAAGATGAAGGACGGCAGAGGCACCACGGACGCGTACTGCGTCGCCAAATACGGCCAGAAATGGGTCCGAACCAGAACGATCATCGACAGTGCCAGCCCGAAATGGAACGAGCAGTACACATGGGAGGTCTACGATCCCTGCACCGTGATCACGCTCGGAGTGTTCGATAACTGTCATCTGGGAGGCAACGAGAAGCCCGCGGGAGGAGGTGGAGCAGCGCGGGACATGAGAATTGGCAAGGTGAGGATCCGGCTATCGACCCTGGAGATGGATCGGATCTACACGCACGCATACCCCCTCGTCGTTCTCCAGCCATCCGGGGTGAAGAAGATGGGGGAGCTGCACCTGGCAGTGCGCTTCACATGTTTGTCCCTGGCAAGCGTGATCTACCTCTACGGCCACCCGCTGCTCCCGAAGATGCACTACGTGCATCCCTTCACCATCGGCCAAGTGGACAGCCTGCGGTACCAGGCGATGGGCATCGTGGCAACGAGGCTGGGGCGAGCGGAGCCACCGCTGCGGAAGGAGGCGGTGGAGTACATGCTGGATGTGGACTCCCACATGTGGAGCATGAGGAGGAGCAAGGCCAACTTCTTCCGGATCATGTCGCTGCTCTCGGGGACCATCGGAATGTTGCGGTGGCTGGACGACGTGTGCCACTGGAAGAATCCCATCACCACCCTCCTCGTCCATGTCTTGTTTCTCATACTCATCTGCTACCCGGAACTGATCCTGCCGACCATGTTCCTCTACATGTTTCTGATCGGGTTGTGGAACTACAGGTTCAGGCCTCGGCTCCCGCCCCACATGGACACGAAGCTGTCGTGGGCGGAGGCGATACACCCCGACGAACTGGACGAGGAGTTCGACACGTTTCCGACGTCGAAGCCGCATGACCTGGCCCGGATGAGGTACGACCGGCTCCGGAGCGTGGCGGGGAGAATACAGACGGTGGTGGGCGACTTGGCGACGCAGGGGGAGAGGTTTCAGTCTCTGTTGAGCTGGAGGGATCCGCGGGCCACCAGCCTCTTCGTGCTCTTCTGCTTGCTTGCAGCGGTGTTGCTCTATGTGACTCCATTCCCGGGGGTGGCACTGATGGCGGGGGTGTACGTGCTGCGCCACCCCAGGTTCAGGAGCAAGCTGCCGTCAGTGCCCGGCAATTTCTTCAAGAGGCTTCCTTCGCGGATCGACAGCATGCTGTGAGACGATGATGCCGAGTCAAACAACATATAAGATTTGGTATTGGTAGTGTTAGTAGTCAACTTTGTCGTGGGATGTTCTGTCAAATGATGTGTGGGTTGCTAAAACTTATTTGGTCTGTCTGTTGTAAGAAGCTGATGCCATAACGTGTGATATAAGCCTTTCTATTCCAAGCTCTTTTCACCGGTCATGAGAAGATGAACTGAGGACTAACCCAATCCTTATTCTCGCCCGCCAGCAACATTGATAAATGAGGAGGATAAAAAAAATAGCTGAATAAAAGCATTAAACTACGACGAGCCTACACAAATTATATATGCATTCTTACTCCTCCACTTAGTTATGCTTTGGCTTTGATGGATTAGAATAAGGTTCAAAACATATAGTTTACTAACTCGAAAAGCGATGCTCGTGATGAAGGAATCTCAAAGATAATATACCACTAAGAGAGACAGAACATGTCCTTTATCTTTATCATCGCAACACAAATGACAAACTAAATGTTGCAAGAATAGGAAAATGCTAATAGGAACATGTCCACTTGCATCATTAATCATTAAGTTGAGGCCTTGAGATATCTTATTTCTCACAGATAGAAGACAAGCTCATGTGGTACAGAGAAAACCTGGCACCGAGGTTGGGCTGAACACGTCTGGAACAGCTTCGTTGGCTTCGATCAATGGCAGGAGTTTCCTATATTTCGACGAAAAGCAAGTTGTAAAATGAGCAATGGATCGAGCATCCAAAAAATGTAGTAAATCTTACCGGTAGAGCCCATCGCAGACGAGTCTCCTATGGTTCAAAGAATTTCCCTTCGGTTCTTAGTCTTCCTGTTTTGACGAAATAATTGTCTTCAAATTAACTCAACTTCAATACCAGAAATATCAATCTCGAAGGCCGTTTGGATAACATAAACTTAAACTTAAGTGACGATGGGGAACAGCATAAGTCTTCCATCGATCTTGAAGGGCCCTGCAGCAGGCCAATACAATGATGCACTACCAACAAATACATTGGTAAAAAAGAAAAGACAACCTGGAAACTGATGGATATAATAAATGTCAATAAGAAGAATCAACAAGATCTCAGTAATGAAGCAAGGGAGGAATCTAGAGTAATCTGATGTTTTATGTTCATATCATAATTTTGTTTCTGCAATTTCTTGAACAAAATCAAAATTACCTTTCAGGGTCAGGTTTATCAAGAACATGTTAATCAAGACCAGAGTCAACAAAAAAAATGCTTACTAGACATCAAACATTATTCACCACAACCAAAATCTTACTAGCGTCCTCTGAGGGTTGGGGCCAGTCACAATTCATGGCATGAGAAACACCTACATGCAGTTTACTTGCTATGCTAGGCATAGAACTTGTCAAGGTTGCAGAGATTTCTGACATTTAACTAATGCTTGAAAAACTTTAATGGTTATGTTATACATGCGACTCAACGAGATTGCACATGTTTCCAACCTTGACAACATACCAATTGAATTCATAGAATGCTTAACGCTAGACAATCACAAGTGAATAAGCTCAATATACTAATTAACAATGAATTCGACTACTAAGATATGTTTAAGATCATGCAGAAGTACTACCACCACGAAACCATTTCAAGAGAGCCCATAGTCAATAAGCTTCGGAATGTGGATTAAGGAGAGGAAGATTTACAAAGCAACAAACTAGTCGAGGGTTGTGATCGCTAACTATAATGCCCCCAACCCAACGGAGAGTCAGGACTGCCAGGAATGGCAAAACGCTGCAGTTCTCATAAGTTTTCATGTGAGAATTGCTAGTTCATCACATAACTAAATCAGTAATGTCATAAAAAATCCATAAATACAATATATAATAACTTTATCACATAACATCCAAAAAAACACTTATTACATCATGATTCTTAAAAATTAGAAACATTAAGACAACACATTTTATTTCCTACATGCAAAACCATAGACGTGATCCAAAAAATTTTTATGAACATACAATGGTCAGTAAATACCGAAACTCATATGCTAGCAAGACTTATTACAAAATAATATGTTTCTAAAATTCTATATTTTTTATGCATTCATACTTGCATTTAAAAATACACAAACTACCCTTTATACTTATAAAAGATCAAAACATAAACTTCATATGCATTTCAAATCATAACTTTTTATAACTAAGTGATCAAATCTCAGCTCATGTATAATCATAACTAGAGCTGAGACTACATATTAGAACAAAAGTCATAAATCCAGACAAGATCAAGAACCATGTTTAACCCCCGTGATGTTGGTAATACATCTGCCCTTATGTGAGGGCCCAGAAGAAACTAGTTTTTGAACTTATAAACAAAAACCCCATTGATAACATCCAGACTGTCTAAACAATTGAAAATATCTTTTCAATGAATAAGATCATAAGCATATCATTTCAAATTTGGCATAATATATTATTTAAAACTACAATTATCAGACATCTTCTTATCATTTTAGACAAATGTAATATTGACATATATATGTTCAAAAATAAGTAACTGATTTAACACTTGCAAATCATATAATTTTATGGGTTGAAAACATATATATTATTACTTTTGTAAATAAACCAAACAGAATCATCGGACACTTATCTAGACTATTAAAACCAACACAATAATTAAGATTCTTCCTCTTTTCCCAAATCATTCAAATAGCATAAATCAATATAATAAAAAATAAAAACCTAAAATTATATTAATCTTTAATTTATTCCTTTATTCTTTCCTTCCTTAATAGTAATATTTTATTCTTATTCTTCTCATTTCTCTTTTTTCCTCTCTAATATAATATTACATTAAAATCAATTAATCTATAATCGGATCTACTTTTATCATAAGACATACATAAATATAATTTTCTAAATTTAAAGTAACTCTCTTGATATAAAAATGAGACTTCAGTAAAATCACATGGTTTTTCAATTTCTTCTTTTTATTTCTTTATGTCATTCTTGCCACTCATGCACAACAGCAGCCAAGAGCTTGCTGTGTGGCACTGTGGCTTACTACGACTGGTCATTTTTTTTTAATATTTCCTTTGCACTTCTCTTCTTCTTGTTGTAATACCTTCCCACACGTCATATCAAGTCGACGATGGCTTGTTGTGCAACACCAACTTCCCTTTTCTTCTTTCCTTTTTTCTCTTTCTTGCCTCATGTACCCTCTCTTCTCTATGTATAATCGAGCTCACATTATGGTACCGCATCTTTTCTTTTCTTTTCTTTTCATTCTTTCTTCAGACTCATTTTTTCTTACATCTTCACTCAAGCAACCAAGCTTATCCCCCTATAGCACTCCATTTTAACTCTTTTTTTTAATCATTATAAGATAAAATTATATACCAAACAATGATCAAGATTCATTTTACATCGAACTTTACCATCAACAGATCAAGATCCTTACTTTCTATAATTTAAAACCTTGATGAAGAAATCATAAAAGAATATTATAATGCTTACCTAGATCGATACTCTTTGGTGCAATCTTAATCTTTCGATCCCAAGATGAAGTCTTATTTTTGTTCTAGAGATCCCCAAGGAAAGAGTTTTTTCCCATAAGCAGAAGAGAGACGACTTTCGAGGAAACCAATACATGTTATGCACTAAAACACCCTAATACCTCTTTTTTTTTCAAATATACCCTCCTTGGTAATACTAATTACACTAATGTCCCAAATAAATCTTATGGGTGTTACATTTTCCTTGAAAGAATAAGTTTATTCCTCTAAACTTAACATTCCTGAATTAAAAAATAGTTAAGGATAATTGATCAACCTCTAAATACCCTAATACCTCACTATGATTACTCCATTACATCTTATCATATAATATTATTATTCTTCTTAAAATTTGGTTATTTCTATCAACATAGGTTGCTCCTCATATGATAAATCTGTATTGCAAGGATTACATGATCTGGATCTTGAATATATGTCCTCAACACTGACATCATGTGAAGGTTTCAGTTAGGTAAACACTTTGATAGTTTATCATAAGGTTCCGGGCTTGAATCCCGCCTTCATTACTTACCCTCTATACCAAAAAAAAAAACCTATTGGCATCATGAGTTCCAACGTTTGAAAACCTCAAATAATATAATACGTCTATAGCTCAATTTGCCACTTATTATATATCTCATGATATTCATAAGACTTACCAAGGTATGCAATACCGTCTCGTACTGGTGTTTCGAGGTTGACTCGGTACGGTACAGTACCGTGTACCGAGCAGTACGCCAAGGCGTACCGAGTGGTACACTTAATTTAGGTGTAAAACCTTCCGAAAATACCTGAAAAAAAAAAGTTAGGATAGGGTTTTTAAGTTAGAAATAAATATAGTAATAGCATAAGTTTAGCAAAATCAATGTAACTTAGGTAAGAATAGTATTAATATCTTTTTCGAGCTTTGAAGAATATCTTGTGCAAGGTTCGTATTTCAGTCCATTATAGATTGTCCTTATGTAAACATATCTGTTGATTAGAAAGTTCTTCCTTTTAATCATCCTAAATTAACCTTGATTCAATTTACAAATCGGTGTTTTGTAGAGTTTAGGAGAGCACAAATATGAGAAAAAAAAAGTTTGAGATAGTTTAAAAGAGTATGAGAATGTAATGGAGTGAAATAAGGGAGAAGGGTTTAAATACTATGAGAAAGGGCTCCAACGGTCAATTTGACTGTTGGAGCACTGTATCACTGTTACCGAGCGGTTTTAAATATTTCTTCCTCTTACTGTAGCAATACTACAGTGTAGCACTATAGCATGTTCCATCCGGTAGCGAGCGATCCGTGTACCGGTATGTCATCGGATTGGTACGTACCGCCCGTACCGGGCAATACTATTTGAAATTGTATACCTTAAGACTTACACATAATTAATATTACAAAAAAAGGCATTTAGAAAAATGATATATTAGGATATTTTAATGCATAACATCTTTTATTTCTCGAACCTCATCTCTCTTTTGCTCATCGGAAAACACTCTCCTTGGGGATCTCTGGATCGAAAATATGGTTTCATCTTGGTATTGATAGCAAGAGATTAAGATCGTACTAAGGAGGATTGATCTAGGTAAGGATTATGATCCATTTTATTATATGATCTATTTTATTATTTCTTTATCGAAATTTTATATTATAGAAAGCACAAATCTTAATCTGTTTATATCATAAGTCCATCTAATATGAATCTTGATCTCTATTTAGTATATAATTTGATCTTATAATGATTAAAAAAAAATAAAAAGGGAGTATCATTAGGTAGCTATGAACGAATAGGCTTGATTACTTGAGAGAAGAGGGGAAAAAAAATTGAAAGAAAGAATAAAAAACAAAGGTCCTACCAAAGTATGAACTTTATTATACATAGAGAAAATAGGGTACAAAAGAAAGAGAAGAGAAAAAACAAAAAATAAAGGGGAAGTTAGTGTCATAGCAAACCATCATCGACTTGATGTGTCATGTCTTGGAAGGTATTGCAGTAAGAGGAAGAAAAGTGTAAAGAGAAAAAAATATAAAAAAAATGCCACACAGCAAGCCTGTGACTTATTGTCGTGCGTAAGAGGAAAGAGTATTAATTTGAGCATATATACATATACATATATACATATATATACGATTTTATCAAAATTTCATTTTTATACCAATAGAGTCACTTTAGATCTAGAAAAGTTATATTTATATATGTTTCTGAGCTCTTATACTTTTTTACTAATAAAAAATAAAGAAAATTATAAATTATTTTGTTTTAATCCTTCAAATATAATATGATCCTAGAGTGGGGAAAAAGAAAAAAGAGTAAGAAT